AGGCTGATGGGAGAGGGTCAGCAAAGGCTGGCAGCTAAGTTATTTGGCTTTGATTTTGAAATACATTATAGGCCAGGGGTGAAGAACCGGGCAGCAAATGCTTTATCACGGGTGATGGAGTTCAAAGGGGTCACATTATTATCCAGTCCAGATTTACTATCGTTGACTGATGAGAGCAACCAAGATGCAGATGTTCAAAAGGTTATGATGGACGTGTTACAGGATGCCCAATCCCATCCAGATTATACAGTCACTAAGGGTTGTTTATGGTTCAAAGGACGGCTGGTTATTCCTCATAAGTCTCCACGTATCCAATTATTGTTGCAGGAGTTTCACGCATCACCGTGGGGGGGCCATTCTGGTGAATTACGTACTTTCAAGAGAATTGCATCTCTTTTTTTACTGGAGGGGCATGAGGCGAGATGTGGCAGCGTTCGTACAAGCTTGCACTACCTGTCAACAGCAGAAATATTGCCAACTGTCCCCTGCAGGGCTTCTTCAACCACTAAGTATTCCAAATAAGGTGTGGGAGGAGGTTACCATGGACTTTATTGGTGGATTGCCTAAATCCCATGGAATGGACACAATCTTGGTGGTTGTAGATCGCCTTTCGAAGTATGCCCATTTTATCTCACTAGCTCATTCGTTTACTGCTCAACAAGTAGCTGCTGTATTCATCCGTGAAGTGGTACGTTTACATGGTTTTCCCATTTCCATTGTATCAGACCGTGATAGGATATTTATTAGCAGCTTCTGGAAGGAACTCTTTCGTCTTGCTGGTACTAAATTGAAATTTAGTTCGGCATATCATCCTCAAACCGATGGCCAAACGGAAGTAGTGAATCGCACGGTTGAAACCTACCTTCACTGTTTTGTGGGGCATCACCCTAAGTGTTGGATAAAATGGATGCCATGGGCTGAGTCTTGGTTCAATACTTCTTACAACCGCTCAATTCAGATGACACCATTCAAAGCCTTATATGGTAGGGAACCCCCTGTTTTGATTCAGTTTGACACCGGTAGCACCAAGTTGGAAGCTGTGGATCAATTGCTGAGTTCTAGAGATGCTGTTCTGGACGAGTTGAAACACAACGTTTGTCTGGCCCAAGCTCAAATGAAGGTGGCAGCAGATAAAAAAAGAAGAGAGGTGGAATACGCAGTGGGGGACAAGGTATATCTGAAAATTCACCCTTACAAGCTTAAATCATTGGCTAGGCGTATTAATCAAAAGCTTAGCCCAAGGTTTTACAGGCCTTTTGAGATTCTTAAGCGTGTAGGAGCAGTTGCTTATGAATTATCACTGCCTTCATATGCAAAAATTCATCCAGTTTTTCACGTATCTCAGTTGAAACGTGCTGTAGACCCTGCTGTTCAGATTTTGGACCTTCCTCAATGCTTGTCTGATAATTTAGAGCTGCAGGTCCAACCTGCAGATGTGGTGGACAGCCGTCGATTATTGGGGGGGACAGGTGGAGATTCTGGTTCATTGGGCTGGTTTACCAAATTGTGAACGTTCCTAGGAGGATTTGGAGGCTTTCCAGGCACAATTTCCTCACTTTCACCTTGAGGACAAGATGAATGTTAAGGAGGCAGGAATTGGTGAGAGGGTGAAACAAGTTTACAGTAGAAGGAAAGGGAAAATAAGGCAAGAAAGGCCTAATGTAGAGAATCCAAGTGGGCTTAATGAAGAGAGCCCAGCAAAGTACAATCAAACTGAGAAGGTTGGGCTTGAACAAGATAATCCAAAGTTGCAGGCTACAAGGATTGGGCCGGTCCAGGAGAATCCAGGAATTAATAATGAGAAGCAAAAGGCTGATACTAAGAGTAACACAAGTGTGACTAGGCAGAACGAAATAACTGACACAAAGAAAGATGCAACGCGGATGATAACAAATAGGTGTGCTGGCACGATGAGTTTGTTAGAAGAGAGAGAAGATACAGGTGCGTAAGGGAATATAAGGCATGGAAGGTGTAATAGAAGGTAGGAATGAAGAATCTTATTCAATTCAGTGGTGAATTGGGAGGGGAAGGGTACTGTGGAGTCCCTTAGTTATTTTCCATTCAGTTTTGTATTTCCTTCAAGGCTATGTTAGCCAATGTTTAGTGTCTCCTGTTAGTGAGAGGACTGTTTCATTACTGTCATTGTTTGTTAATTGTCTCTATTTTAATTCATAATCAAATTGAGGTTTCATCAGTGAGAATGCCAATGTGAGGAGAATTACATAAAAATGCCCTTATGTTCGGCCTTGTGGGGCTTTAGAGGGGCTTTATGTTCCAAAATTTTATTGAAACCTTTTTGAATACATATATGTATGTTTAAGTTGCTAACTAAGTGAAGAAAGAATAAGTAAAAAGAAAAGAACCTTTTTGCCTATTGTCCTTGTAGAATTCGACCTATAGGGTGGCTTAGGGATATAATTGTTGCACTTTATTTTAATAAAATGTGTTGTAATTCGTTGTATAAAATTTATGACTTAAGAAGTGAAATGGCTTGAAAAAGGGTTGAAAAATACCTTGAGTCCCTTAAGGGTAGGTTCACGGCCTTTTACAGAAAATGGCATGAATTATGTTGAAAATTCTCAAGTGAACACTTGATTAAATTAAAGAATCCTAACGAGTATAAGGTGGTCTAGACTTGTGTATTGGCATAGCATTGGCAAAAATGTAAAGAAACGAAAAGAAGTAATAAAATGTATGCCTTATGTGAAAGCTAGGCATGATGGCATTTTATTAATTTGTATTTGTGGATTCTTGCTCTAGGTGTACCTAGGGACTAAAAAGGAATCAGAATCTCTTGAAGATATATAAGTAACTTGAGCCACAAGTAAGCTGATTGTTAAAGCTTCAAGAGGTAAGCTCTATGTTTAAGGAGTCTTTTCCTGCTCGAGTGCTCCACCATAGTTAGTGGACTGTGGTTGGAATGTATGACTGTTGATATGATACTTTGTATAGATGCATTCATATAGAGTTATTTGATAACATGATATGACTTGCCCTGATATGATTTCTGTATTGATATATGGTACACTGATGTCTTCTTGGGGCTTCCCTGGGATTGACAATGTACACCTCTGACATGCTCTGGTTCCGCTTGGGGTCCTCCCTTGGGAACACGTGCGTTGATTTCCGCTTGGGGTCCTCCCTTGGGAATGACGGCGCACGCCTCTGCTGGTTCCGCTTGGGGTCCTCCCTTGGGAACACGTGCGTTGATTTCCGCTTAAGGTCCTCCCTTGGGAATGACGGCGCACACCTCCGATATGATATGGATATATACTCTGTTCTGTTATGATATATGCTATATGTTGTATTTGTATACTCCGTATCTGACTTTCATGCAGGAGTGAGCCAGAGATATGGAGAATTCTCTATAAACCTGGAGCTTATTGAGATTTGTAATCTCACCCCTCGTTGGGGCCATATTTTCAGGTTCCCAGATTCCCGGTGAGACCTCTCTAGTCAGGGACGCGACCCGTGGCTGAGGATTTTGGACGGATTGGATTTTGAGTAGCTGTAGGCTACTTCTATTTTGGAGTATAGTGCTTTCCTTTAGTAATTCAGTATTTTGTGAATCATGATGTTAGATCCTTTATTTTGTATATGGCCTATATATGTTTTGTACATGTCTGTCAGTTTGATGCATGTACATTTGAGTATTCAGGCACGTTATATGGTGATGTAGTATTCAGATATGTTTACGTTTTGGATTGCATGCTGTTAGATATAGCGGCACTGAGCCAAGTTATGCATGCGCCCATGGATGGGTATCTGATTATATTTGCATGACTGGTACTTCTGGATTGATGTGCTGTATAAACTGTTTATCAGGAAATGTTTCTGAGTGGGATTGAAAAATCCCCAGTTGTCCGATTTATAGAGAAAACTCTGTCCGATTTTCGTTTACGTCGAATGAGAATTTAAAAAGAAAAAGAAAAAGTTAGCTGGTATTTTCAGAAAGTTAAGTCTTCCGCTGTTTCTGTTTATATCATATGCATGTTAATTGAACCGGCTCGAGACGGGGATGTTACAATATTTGTCACAACCTTTTTGAATCCTTCCATTCTAAAAGCGCACGATTATTTGATATTCGAGCCTAATCCCTGTGGAGACGATACTTTTCTTATCACTATATTACTTGTGCGATCGGTATACTTGCCGGTGAGCATCAGATCTCACCACTCTTTTTTCTCTCTCCTCTTACCTGTGAGTCCCACTTATACTTTTATTTCTACAACATGAGGTAGTTTTTTTTCCTACAACATAAGAAAAATATATCCCATATAATTTTCATGCTCCAAGTTAGTGATTTGGGGATGCCTATCTTACTCAGTAGGTAAACTCATTCCTTCCTTTCTACTATTTTTCAAAGCCCATTCAGCAACTGTACCTCCTCCAGCTCAGTGTGCTTGCTCACTTCTCCAGCGAGGCAAGTCAATCAGAGAGGGAGTTCACTTGAAGAAAGGGGCACGAGTATTTTGCAATCATAGCAAATGGTTCAGTTTGCATAATAGTCTTGTTTACATATCTGTTTTGTGATATTTTCACTTTAACATATTGGTGGAGCCAAGATCCTTCCTTGACTAATGTTTTCATGTAGAATAGAGATTCCTACTGTTTATTTTGTATGATGGGAAGTCTCCTATTTTAAGGGAGGCTCTGTCCAATTTCCTATAAAATCATGATATTGAGATTACATGGGTGAACACATTGGATTTAATATGTTTATCCGGTTAGGATGTTTAATCCCTAGCTGGTCACAGGCCTTGAAATTGGGATGTCTCTTTTCTTTTAGATGATTTATTATCCTTATGTAACTCTTTTTCTCTTCTCCGTAATAAAATTTCTCTTTTATTATCCAAATAAACAATAAAAAGAAACACAACCTCTTTATGAAATCAGGAGATAAAATAGTCCCAATAACATAAGTTAATTATGTAACTGAAAATTCTATAATGGAAAATATGATTAATTTGTGATGAATTAAATTTGAATAAAAGTATTACCTGGGGATTTTGCAAGTTATAAACAATAAGATTTCTATCAGCAGTGCCAACAACCATCAGAGGATGTCTCACTGTCATTGCATAGCAGCGCTCTGGGAGTTGTTGGGTGTGCACTGGATTTGACTGCCTTGTATCCCAGTACCTAAAAGTAGCCAGAAAAAGTCACGTGGAGAGGACCAAAGCACTAAATAAAGCAAAATAGTGAGCTTCATACCACATTTAATCAGAAAGATAGAATACCACCACAAAATACTAAAACATGTGCCATAATCTATAATTGCAATGGTAAGTAATACTAAGATAATAGACAATGCATGATAGATGTAGGAGGCTTCCAAGACAATTTTATAAAGGTTTATCGCCAGAAAAAAAATGGAAGAACAAGAGAGACTTTATAAGCCAAATAAGAAATATTCTTTTCTAAAAACAATAAAGCAATCCTACACTGCTACACAGTTACACAAACTTTAGATTGGAACACTCATTTCAGACACTCCCCTCTAGAAGTAATTTACTTCAATTCTAATTCAAATAGAAGACCACCTAAGAGCCATGTCAGATTATATATCATGTAATAGATAATTGAAAGGAAATTTCCGTAAAGGCAGCGAATGCTAGTGCATTACTTCATAGTCCTGTCCCAGCTTCCCGTGACTAAAAGGTTCATCTCAGGAATCCAAGCAATTTCTTTGATGGGGGCATCGTGCACGGCGACAGTCATTGGTTGGCCTCCAGACAACAGAGGCCACATCTTCACTTGCTTGTCACATCCACCAGAGAAGACAGTTGTGCCATCATCCTTCCAACTAGAACACAAAACCTACGCAAACAGATACACATTATGAATGTACAACATATATAGACTAGTGTAACAGCTTACTGTTTTAGGAAAAGGCAGATGAGCAAGATCAAGAAAACCATTCAATAGTTAAGTACTATTAATTTATCAACCTAATCAACTCAATGGTCATTGCATCTCATTATTCATTAGTTGTTGCATCAATCTGCACAAAAGTTGTGCACGAATAACACAAACACTAAAAAGTTCAACTCAAAATTCCAGCTGAGGCTCACAAAACGCGCGCACAAAACAAACATACAAATATCTCAATATGTAGAATATTGCGTTAATGATAACTTGATAATATTTAAAAAACCTTACCGGATGGTCATGCGTTATAGAAGCCTTGGGCACAGTGGCAATATTTATCCCATTCCGTGCTACCTCCCAACATCGAACCTGCAAAAGTAGTTAGAAAATTGCTCATAAGCTTACCGAAGTAAAATCAATCGCAGAAGAAGTAAGCAAGCAAGCAAAGCAAGAAGAGCGAAACGAAGAGAAACACCTGGTTGTCCCAGGAAGTGGCCACGAGGAGGTTCGCTTTGGGACTGAAACTGAGACTGGAGACAGAATCAGTTGGAGGCTGATTCACCTGCAAAATTCACGAACGAATGACGAAAAAGTGGCACTGCAGAAGCTGCTGCTTCTGATGAAGCAGCGAAAAGAGGATGAGCGAGAATACCTCAAAGGACTTATTAGGGTTTGAATTAGTGTTAGTCAAGAAATTCGACATTTGCAGCAGGAGGTGTAAATTTTCTCGCGGGATTTTCTCAGAGAAAATTTTCCAGAGAGAAAAGAGAAACGTTATTTTTAGTTTAGTTTAGACTAAACTTTGAAGGAGGTAGGCAGTTAGGAAGAGTAAGGAAAACGTGAAAAGAAGGGTTTGTGGGGGTGAGGGCATGTCTAGGAACTAAACGCTACGACCTAGCGTTGTTACGACGCTTGCTTTATGGGCTTTTTTTTGGTAGAATGGGCTGTTGTTTTATTATGGGCCTTAATGTATATGTTATGCTACTATCATCACATCCTCGAGATTTGGATTTGATTTTTGGTCCTTACTTAAATGCATCATATGAGAAATGTACCTTAATTTTTTTTTATTTTTGAAAAGAAACTCAGTGAAAATTCCAAATATTTTATATGTTGGATAAGATATGTGATATAAATACAAGTAATACAACTTATTGGGCAGGATAGAATATGATTACGAAGTTATAGAAATTCGGTCATTGTCATTCATACTTGTAAAGCTGTAATGATTATTAATTATGAAGCATCGACACTTCAAAAATTCTGACGTGTCTTGTCTAATACTTCTCGACACCGACACTTTTACATTTTCTGACACTTTAATACTCATTGCAAAGATTCAATAAGGGTTCAAAGGTTACATTACGTTGCATTTTGAATTTCAACTATTAGATTCATTGAATTACGATTATCATTTTATTGAGTTTAATATAAATATTTGGGATATCTTACGTTTCTTTAGGGTATTATAAGTGTAGCTTTATTTTTTATTAAACTATTGAATATTAAATATAATATACACTACATAAATTAAAAATATTATATAATATCAAAACGTGTCCTAACGTGTCGAAATTTAATATTTTTTAAAATTAACATATCGAAATGTCGTACCATGTCATATCTCGTGTCCCGTATCAATATCGGTGCAACGTAGGTTATTAATATGTAATTTTTGTTTGCTGCTCTTGCCTTCTTGTGCATCTATCTGTCATTGTACGCAACTTTCCGATACGAGCCAACATTTCAGATGGAAAAATCGCATGACTTTTTAACGTGATAGGGTAATCATGTACCATGTTGAAAAGAGATAAACGCAAATTTTATCATGCGATGTCATTGTTATAGGGTTCACTAATTATATTTAAAATAAATTATGTCTTTTTCTTTCAAACAGGAAAATAGATAATTCAGATCGAATAAGGGTATTCAAAACCGAACTAGTTTAATCAAAACTGAAAAAATCTAAAACGGAATAAACTACAAAATATAAAAAATGAAGATAAAAAAATTAATTGGATTGAATTTATTTTTGAATTCATATTCAAAAATTAATCTAATTCAATTAGAACTAAAAATGTATATCTCTATCTACCAAAAAAACTATATATATTATTTTAAAATAATCCGCCGACCCTGGTTTGAAATAAAAATATTATTAATGTTGATATTATTTTAAAATAATATTTTACCTAAGAGATTATCATATTATCTACATTTATTTAATAATTTTTTTCTTTTTCAAATTTAAATCCACTCTCTTAGAGTTAGACATATTTTCTTATATTGGTAATTAATTAAAATTTATACAGATTTGTTTAAACTTATATTTATTATTTTTTTGATGAATTAGTTTAAATTTATATTCGATGAAATTAGATTTCGTATTCTGATAAGTTTGACGAATTTATATATTTAAATATTGTAAAAAAATGATTTAATATAAAATTATTTAAATTATATTTTAGATTGAATTGAAACATATTTATATTTTTAAAAAGGGTTCTCTTTTTCTACGGTCAATGTAGATAACTTATTTACATTGAGCCCAAAATGACGTCGTTTTAAGACGAAACATAAAGCATCTACAACTCAGAATCAAAAGCAACACTCTAAAGAACAACACCTAAGAGATCTAAACATGCATCAGAATACAAGAACGAAAAAGAAAACACACACTGGCATGTAATATCACACAAAGTGTCAGATACCCATGGACCAGTTGAACCAGTGAGCTTCTACGATCTTGGATTAAAGCCACCAAGTCCCGAGCGAACAACCCAGTATTTTTGTAATTATAATTTATTTCAGGATTATAATAGTCTTTTTCATTATAATTTTTTAATTTTTCAATTCAAAACGACGTCGTTTTAGCATGAATGTAGATAACTTATCTACATTCACTTTAGAAACATTGAAGCCTTTAAAAAAATCAATTAGATGATATTATTAAAAATTAATTGAATTAAACTGAATGAATTTTACTGATGGAATTCAATTCACAAATACCCCTAATCTAAATAATACCATATTGAGATAATATTTGGGGAAATATTACCATATTGACATCGAGTTTGATTTTTCTACAATAAATGTAGATAAGTTATCTACATTAAACCCAAAACGACGTTGTTTTAGGGCAAAAATTAAAGTATTTTTTTTATTAAATTTATTTCATGGTTATAATAGTCTTTCTTATTATAATTTTTTAATTTTTCAACCCAAAATGACGTCGTTTCGGGACTTATCTACATTCACTCTAGAAACATTAAAGTCATTGACATAATAGGGAAAATGATTTCTGCATTTACTGCATAAATCATTTTTTTATCACTGATAGTAAAATGGCAATGGGTCCATCACATTTATCCTTTCTCTCTTCTTATGAGTTTCTCTCTTCCTTTTTTCTACGAGTGATAGAGAAAATAATTTCTACTGTAAGTGGGTGTTTGGTATGAAAGAAATTTTTTGTTACTATGAAAAAAAATTCTCGGAATATGAAGAGTAATTTTTTTGGCCTGGGTAAGTTACAATAAGGTGTTTGGTAGGCAACAAATTTACCGAGAAAGTTGGGTTATTTTTACTAATGCTAGGTTTGGTTGATGGTAAAATATTGATGGGAATGTGTTATGATATTATGAAATTACCCGTATTGATGGTGAAATAATGTTAAAATATTAGAATCACACTCAACAAACGTACAACGAATCTAAACTCAAATAAATTAAGCCACACAATTTTTTATCACTTATGTCTTTTGTTCAGAAGTTTTACTTGATATACACCTTTTCAAGGCATTTTTGTCCACAAAGCGTAAAATGGGTTTCTCCATTACTCAGATTAAAAAAATATCACACTTCAGATTGCAATTTTTTTTTTTCCCGTTGCACAGTTCAAAACGAAATGCATGGGACGAAAAATATACTGATATTTTCTAACTTGAAGACATACCAAACGTGGTTAGTATATTTTACCTATCCTATTTTTTCTCCATTTCTATCAGATTCTACATACCAAACGCTCCCTACATGCAAAGATTATTTCCCCTAATGATAGGGTCACATCACTACCTCCAGTTTACAAATTAGAGTCGTTGCTTTTTTTGATCTAACGGATCTAAGATGAGGTGTTAAATTTGAAATTTGACACTGGTATCAAAAGATCCTCTATATATATCACATCACTACCTCCAGTTTACAAATCAGAGTCGTTGCTTTTTTTGATCTAACAGCTTTAAGATGAGGTGTTAAATTTGAAATTTGACACTGGTATCAAAGGATCATCTATATATATATATATATATATATATATATATATATATATATATATATATATATATATATATATATATATATATATATACACTACAGACAGAGTTATTGAGGACAAAGAAACCACGATATTTAGCAATGTGTTGATGGCGTCTATTTTTTTTTTATTAACCTCTTCTATTTAGAGTTCAATTGGTAGCAGACAGTTATTAAACTTTTTTCTTTTTCCTTTTTGTTTATTTTAGTCTTAGTTAGTAGAGAATGGAGATACAGAGATGAGGTCGAAGTCATGGCTCGTGGTTGTTGGTGTGAGGATTCCTTTATCTCATAATTGGACTAAAAGTTTTATTTTATTATAATTTATGTTGTTAGGAACATAATTGATGTTCACATTATTATTTTATTTTATAAAAGTTATTTAAATGTAATGTATTATATACAGGTACATTTAGTCGTTGTTTTAATGCGCCCTTCAATTTTCGATAAAAAAAATAAATTTCTATATATATATATATATATATATATATATATATATATATTGGAGAATAATTTCTATATCTTTAAATTTTTTTGAAATAAATAACTAAGTGAAATTGATAAATAAAAAAATTAGCATAGTTTAGTTCAAAACAACTTCAAAATTAATTTTAATGCTGAATTTCTTTATATGAATGTAAAAGATTGTAATTATTTACTTAAAGAAGTTAAAATATTTTAATGACTCTTAAGTGAATGAATAATTTCTATATAGGAGTAGAGCTTAAGGGTGTGTTTGAGAGTCAACATTAAGATGAAAAGAGAAGGAATGAGAAAGTTTTGCTTAGGTTTTTCCTTTGTATGTGAGAATTAAAAAAGGGAAAAAATATTCTAATGTTACTTTAGACAATTTTGTTTAATGTTCAAATCGAAACGACGTCATTTTAGGGTTGAAAAATTAAAAAATTAAAATAATAAAGACTATTATAATCCTGAAATAAATTAAAACTACAAATACACAATGATTTTTGCCCCAAAACGATATCGTTTCGATGAACATTAGATAAAGTTGTCTAAAGTAACTTTAGAAAAAATGAACCAATTAAAAAATAAGGGAAGGGAATAGAGGATTTTTGTAAAACCCTCAAATACCCTTATCACCTTTAAAAAATTAAAGTTCCCCTAATTTGGAGGCTATGAAGCACCGACACTTCAAAAATCTTGACGTGTCGTATCCGACACTTCCCGACACTCTTTGACACTCCGACACTCTAACACGCGTATAGAAATTCAAAAAAAGGTTCAAAGGTTGCGTTGCATTGAGTTTTTAGTTTCAACTATTAGATTCGTTGGATTACGATTACCATTTTATTATGTTTAATATAAATATTTGGGATATATTATGTTTCTTTGCAAAATTGATGAATATTATAAGCTTAGTTTCATTTTTTTGTTAAATTATTAAATATTAAATATAATATACACTTCATAAATTAAAAATATTATTTAATATCAAAATGTGTCTGACGTGTCGAAA